TCCTCTCCGTTGTTGTGTTGAGAGAGATGTGGTGCAATCTGTAAATCCCAGTTACTCGGGAGGCTGAGGTGGGAGATCACTTGAACCGGGAGGCAGAGCTTGCGTGAATCAAGATTTCCCACTGCACTCCAGCCTGAGTGAGACTTCTCTCAAAATAAATAAATAATTGGGTGTAGTATTTGCATATACCTACATATACTTAAATCATCTTTAGATTACTTTATAATACCTAATACAATGTAATGCTATGTAGATAGTTGTCCTGCTGTATTGTTTTTTATTTGTGTGATGTATTGTTTTTAGTAGAGATGGGGCTTCACCATGTTGGCCAGGCTCGTCTTGAACTCCGGACCTTAGGTGATCCCCATCCGCCTCGGTCCCCCGAAGTGCTGGGATTACAGGCGTGAGCCACCACGCCCAGCCCGCCCGTCTAATTTTTAAATCTTTTGTAGAGATAGGGTCTCACTATGTTGCCCAGGCTGGTGTCAAAATCCTGGGCTCAAGTGATCCGCCTGCCCTGGCTTCCCTAAGTGTTGGAATTATAGGCATGAGCCATTTAGAATTAAAATGGGCCAGACGTGGTGGCCTGGACCTGTAGTCCCAGCACTTCGGGAGGCTGAGGTGGGAGAATCGCTTTCGCCTGGGAAGTGGAGGTTATAGTGAGCCGTGATCGCGCCACGGCAGCATGGACGACAGAGCCAGACCGTCTCAAAAGAAAAACAAAATAAGGGGAAAAAAAAAAAGTTCTGATGTGTCCCCAGATTGGGGTGTGCCACTGAGGCCCATTCCACGCACTCCAACTTCAAAGATGTGGGTCGGTGCAGGTGAGGAACCTGCTCAGGGCCCCCAGCCCCAGCGCCGGGTCTCCCCACGCCTGGGAGGGGAGGATGGCGGTGAGTAAAAAGGGAGGGCTTCCCCATTCACTGACATTCCAGGGAAGGACGATGGGGACTTCAGCACACTCTGGGATTGCCGGAGGCTGGTGTGTCTCTCAAGCGTTTTGAGTTTAGATTCTCTGGGAGACCAGCCAGAGCCCAGAGAGGCTTAAAAGCCCAGCCGATTGCAGACCGCGCGCGGGGCAGGGAAGCGAGGGCCGGGAGTGCCCTCCGGTGGCGAAAGTCAGGAATTACCACGCACCTATTCTGGACCAGAGTAAAAATCGCCTGGAAAACGTCGAAAATCATAGACTCTCAAGGGTGAAAGGGGATTTAAAGAGTACTTACTGCAACTCGCCCATCGTATGTCTGGGGACTCTCAACTCCCTATAGATCTTGACCTTCACAGGGACAGTACGGAGAAAGGCAAGCAGCCGCCAAGGACGGGGTATCCCCCTGCACTTAGCGGGGCTCCCGGAAGCCGGCCTGGGGCTGAGCCAGGCGTCCTCCAGCCTGGTGCTGGCGCCTGGCGCGCCCTCTGCTGGATGCCGCAGCTTTGTCGGTGACTCGAAATTTGTTCAGAACCGAATTTTTTTTTTTCTTAGTCTCGCCCTGTCGTCCAGGATGGAGTGCAGTGGCGCAATCTCGGTTCACTGCAACCTTCGCCTCCCAGGTTCAAGCGATTATCCTGCCTCAGCCTCCCGAGTAGCTGGGATTACAGGCGCGCAACACCACACCCAGCTCATTTTTGTATTTTTAGTAAAAATGGGGTTTCACCATGTTGGCCAAGCTGGTCTCGAATACCTGACCTCAAGTGATCCTCCCACCTTGGCCTCCCAAAGTGTTGGGATTACAGGCGTGAGCCACCGCACCTGGCCCGGAACCGAATATCATACCCACAGCATTTTTTTCAAGTATGCATCCATTCATTCAACAAATGTTTATCGATGACACCCCGATTGTCACAGTATCAATGACACTGTGATTCCTGCTGGAGATTCAAGGACATACCTGGCCCCAGTTCTTGGACTTGAGGGAGACAGAATAAATTGTGATAAATGGCCAGGATGAAAGAACAGGGCAGAGAGAACACTTCACCCTTAAGGAGCCTGACCTACTTAGTCCAGGAGGTCCGGGAGCGCTTTCTGTAGAAGACGACGTTGCTCCTGAATTAAACAATGTCAGGCATTGGTGTGTAAAGGGTGGAGCTTCCATCCAACCAGGTGCTAAGCTCACTGCAGCCGCTGTCCGCTGACTGGCAAGCTGACCACAATGCAACATTAGATGAAATCAGTTTACCAAGAGGGAGAAGAGGCAGAATCTCAGGCTGGGCACGGTGGTTCACACCTGTAATCCCAGCGCTTCGGGAAGCCGAGGCAGGCAGATCAGATCGCTTGAACTCAAGAGTTCACAACCAGCTTGGGCAATATGGCCGAAACCCATCTCTACAAAAAATGCAAAAATTAGCCGGGTATGGCAGCATGCGCCTGTAGTCCCAGCTACCTGGGATGCTGAGGTGGGAGGATCACTGGAGCCTGGGAAGTCGAGGTTGCAGTGAGCACCACTGCACTCACTCCACCTTGGGCAACAGAGTGAGACCCTGCCAAAACAGAACAGAACAGAACAGAACAGAATCCCACTTTGAAATTTCATCAGGGACTGTTATTTGGGGGTCATTTTAAAAGACAAATTTGAGGACGGGCGCAGTGGCTCATGCCTTTAATCTCAGCACTTTGGGAGGCTGAGGCGGTTGGATCATGAGTTCAGGAGTTCGAGATCAGCCTGGCCAACATGGTGAAACTAAAGATTAAAAAAAAAAAAAGAAAAGAAAAAAATAGCCAGGCATGGTGGCACATGCCTGTAATCCCAACTACTCAGGAGGCTGAAGCAGGAGAATCTCTTGAACCTGGGAGGCGAAGGTTGCAGTGAGCTGAAATCGCACCATTGCACTCCAGCCTGGGCGACAGGGCGAGACTCCATTTCAAAAAAAAAAAAAAAAAAAGGAAAAATTCTGTGATCTTTGTCATTGCTGTGTCAGTTTATACTGTCTGATTTTTCTCCAGGCTAAAGGTCGCCTTTTCCTTCTTTCTCCTATTTCATGTAATTTTTTATTGGATGTCAGACATTGTGAAATGTATGTTTTGGGTTGCTGGAGTTTGTTGTGATCCTCTCAAAGAGCACCGAAACATTTTTAGGCAGTTAATTTACATGCAGATCATTTTGATCTTTTTTAAAGAGGTGGAGTCTTGCTCTATTGCCCAGGCTGGAGTACAGTGGTATGATTATAGCTCACTGAAGTGTCAAACTCCTGGGCTCAAGTGACCCTCTTGCCTCAGTCTCCCTGGTAGCTGGGACTACAGGTGCAAGCCATCATGCCCTGGTAATTTTTAGTAGAAATGAGGTCTCACTATATTGCTCAGGTTGGTCTCGAACTCCTGGGCTCAAGCGATCCTCTTGCCTCTGCTTCCCGAAGCGCTGGGATTACAGGCGTGAGCCAATGGGCCTGGGCATATAAGCCTTGGTTTTTGTTTTTTTGTTTTTTTTTTTTGCATGGCAATCCAAATTTATTGAACTACTGATGCTAAGTTATACAAAATTGCACCACTTTAATTAAATCGCTTCTTTGATACTTGGCGAGCGGGTATGTAATGGTTTTTTAAGAAATTCAAGGTCATTATTATTGTACAAAATAAGCACTTTGATTAACACAGCTATATACGTCTTTTTATTTTACTTGGAGAATGATCTGTCTTAAATTGAATAGTCCTTATTCATTTATGTCTTAGATAGACGCTTGCCTTTAATTATCTGTTGGGAAGGAAATGTCCAGACTTTTCAACATCTCTTAATTTATATTTTCCTTTTTTTTTGTTTAACATAGGGAACAATGTTACAGTAGTCGTGTGTACACGTGGGGGTCTACAACAAAGAAGTGAGATTTTTAAACAATTCTTTTTGTAAATCATTTTCAGCGCTTCCTGCAGCTGTAGTATTCTCACTGTGAATCCCCTTGCTGCTCCATCGCATAAGTGTATTCTTGCAATACCAAATAATCAGGTTTAGTTTTTGCCTGTTAGTGAGTCTGGTTTCCACCATGTGTAACGTTTTGGTTGAGATGTTAAATGGTGGACGAGTACGTGTGGATGTGAATGTGGGAAGTAATTTTAATCATAGCTGTAGTGGCTCACAAGCTAATTTGCAGTAACTATTGCCTGTTTATTTAACAATTGCCCTTGTTTTGCTTTGTATAGCATTAAGTGTTTGGATGTTAAAGATTGTGTTGTCTATCCAACATGGGAGCCACAAGTATTTAAATTGACCACCTAATGTTACAACTACTTTGAGTGGGCCACAATGTAAACAACACAAAGCAA